CTCCACAACCACAACACCTATTGACAAGATAAGGGCAGATCTGAACTCCTAGAGCTTTGGTCCACAATACTAAATGAAAATATCCACAACTTTTTCCCTAACCCTTACCCCCATTTGCTCATTCATAGGTGTGGGTGACTACCTTTATTGATAAGTTGATTCAAAAGTCCTTTGAGGTGTAATGGGCTAGGCCCATTGTTAGCGCCTCGGCAACAGCACAGGCCTCGGTACCTCCGAAGCGGACGTACAACCTCCGGTTACCTCCGGAGCGGGTCTGCAACCCCCGAAGCGGGAGTATTAGAATTCTGCAAGTCACGCTCTGGGACTTGCCCCTTATCAAATCCATCAAGTTCTACATCGCATATTGCCCTCAGCGGCTCACCCCTTACATGAGGCCATATGTATATTGTTGCAGTACAGTAAGAGATGTGTCGCAGTACAGTAAGAGATGTGTCGCAGTACAGTAAGAGATGTGTCACAGTACAGCAAGAGGTCATGTTATAGTACTATTGAGGTTGAGTAAAAGGACCAACTGGACCAGATTCTTTCAAACAGTAACAGTAACATAACAGCTTCACAGTCAATTTTTCTTTCCGTTCATTCACAGTATATAAACACACAGCTTGAGTTTAACACAACTTCAGTGAACCTCAATTCCATTGCCCAATACCTATTGTATTCAGAACTGTTATATATATTTCTAGTCAACGCCAACGTCATACTCAATTGCTTCAGAACAGAGAAGTCTACAACTCCTCCAGAGCAAGTAATTCAGGTTACTGAGTCTGGCAAACCTACCTGGCTTAAATCCAAGTCGCTTGTTTGCTCTTCTGTGAAGGATATCAACAGTGCAGAGGCGCAGGAGTTAGTGCAACACCTTCACAATCTCCATGTGGAGAAAGAGCTACTTGAACAACAGCTAGATGGTACCAAAGAGGCTCCAACTGAGAAGAAGAAGCTGGCAAACAAGCAGAAAGTCCTGCCTTTATACGCACACAAGTTGGATTGCGATGGCGGTGCAAAGTGGTGGTCTCCTTCATCAAAGAAGGAAGCAGACGCTTGCAAACAAGCATTTGAGGCATACACAGCTGAACAAGAAGCAGAAAAAGCTACTGAATGTCAGCTAAGGAGGACTCAGAAACTAGACTCTCGCTACATCGACACAGTGCTTGTCCAATACTTCCCTAAGCGTTCCCACAACATGGCGGAAACCAGCGAGTTGGCAGGCACTGACAAGATGGATTTCTTCATCCACAAGTCTTTCTGCTTGATTCACCTTGGTCGAGCAGGCGGACAGATAAGCAAGAAACGGGGAGCTCTCTTGGAGCCTGCAGTCGCGAAGATCAGCCACTGTGATGGGAACTTCGTCTTTGCTCAGAACCAGACAGCTCTCCGAAGGTTCAAGGGGATTCGAGTATCCGTGACCAGCGAAATGAAAGATCTTGTTTGTACGTAGATGGGCAAGGATCTCTTCCCGTTTTGGAGCAGGATTTGTGGGCTTTAGGTTCAGACTTGGACGCATGTCTTCTAGCATCCCCACTTCACGACCAGCAAAACAAAGACCTGACCCTGGTACAGTGACAAGTACGGCGTCCTGTGACGTTTGTTGTCCAGTATTTTGGCCCTGGTTTCGTCGTCCGCAAACCAAAGCCTTGATAGACGAGCTATAGGATGACATTGCTCTGTCTAGTACAGTGTCGGTTGAAGATTTGGAGTGCCGACCAGCGGCATGGAAGGGCAGCTGGCTGAGCTGTCCCGTAGGGATCCACCAAATATGGGGCCAGTTGTCGTTGGAGGGAGTCTGTTTGAGGCCCAAGGCATCTAGAATTGGGCTTGCGGCAACGTCCCATAGCCATTCTAGCATCTGCTGCACACGATAGGAATCGCCAGCTCGCAATGACCCAATGTAGCTCCCAACATCCTTGAGCTGCAGATTTGGAAGTCCCACTACGCTTATTGGGCAGTCGTGACGAACTAAAAAGGCATCACGTCGGTAGGCTGACGTTGACGACAACAATAGGGCCAGAAGATGCCGCCATCTTTAATTCGTCCTCAGTAGGTGGAAGGAGGAAGTTTTGAAATCCCCTTTCTGAACGAATCTCAACCAACATTTCTTTGGAACAATTCTCAGCCTTCCAACGTCTATTCTCTTCTTGACCCACGGAAGATGAATCTCCGACGAGCGCGTACTGTTTGTCTGTATGTCGTAGCGATCGTAGGCTGACAGTCCGAAGAAGCTCTACAGCCTCTTCAAGCAAGGTGCTTGAACCTTCCCAGTCAAACTTTGTAGCGAGGTGATTAGCCAATCCCCTAGCTAGACTAATACGAACCGACCGGGGGGAATTGCGACACTTCCATCCTTCTTGAAAGGACGACATGGACCAATTAAATCGCTCGTCATCCTATGCGCTCAAATCGCATATCAAGCGAGTTCCCAAGGCTAACTAAGTATATAGCTTGACCGGAACTTGTTGTTAGAGATAGTTAGTAGCCTCGAGAGAGGCACGGGAAGAACAGCATAAGGTTGTTAGCAAGGAAACTACAGAGAAGTGAGCAGGTTGGGTTGCTGCAAGAATACACGTGCGTATTCGGACATACTATGCGTTGTACCTTTGCGCCTTTGTGCATCCATAACGTTGTGAGTTAGCACTTTGATCATCGACAAAGGGCATGGGGAAATGGGTTTGGATTGTATTAGACGTACCGAGTCCGCGTCTACGTTCATGTCGACATTTGGCTACTTTGCATCTGTGTTTGAGATGTTTGGGGGCCGACAAAATGTCTAGACATAGGGACCAAGGGCTTGGGGAAGTATGATCAGTATGAATATCCAAGAATGGACCAAGGAGTGTTGGATGACAGTCTATGCGCAACTATTACAACGCTTGCGGAGTGGTGCGAGCAGCGCTGTCATGATGACCCAAAGCAGCTTGTTGAACCAAAATGTAGGGGAAGGTAAGAAGATTGATGGATGTGGATCCGCAAGGTCACACGGATGTATAAAGCATTGGGCCAAAACAAGACAGAACGTAAACGTCAAGAGTATAGACACAGTATGGCTCAAAGGGGCGCTCTTCAGGCTCAGGAAGGTCAGGCTCTTGTCGCAGCAGCTCAGAGCGGTGTCTATGAAGGTGACCAAGAACAGACTGCTCGTAGCTTACTGATCCGACACCTAACCACGCTGTCTCATCCAGCAGAGGGCGGCGCACGGACCGGGCGTTGCTTAGCCAACGCCATTGGGCCGTTCCCCGCAAACGCAAGACATAATTATCTCCCACCACACAGCTGTTACCATCCTTTCCTTGTACTGGTCACTATCCGCGAGACTGTCTACTCTCCACTGTCCGGTTCACCCCCCCCCCCCCACATCGCCCTCCCCGGGTGACGGTTTGTCACCACCAAGGGCATGGTCCTGGTGCGCGAACCCACGCAAGCGCCCTCACCCGCGCAGCACCAACAGCTGCAGATCCTCTTTCGCCATCCTGGCTACAATGATAGCAGCAACGTCCTCTTCAGGCTGCAGGCCACCGACAGAGACGACGATGGGCGGCCGGGCCTCTTTGCTCAGCTTGCACTTGATGCCTGTGCCATAGTAGCAGGAAATTGCGGCAGCCAGGGCTGGCTGTCGCTGTCACGTGATGGCAGCGCGCCCATAGAGCCCTCCAGCACTCTGCACGCCCGCAGCTACTACTTCCACCTCGCGGCCGCCGACGACGAGCCGTACCCCATCGTTCCGAACTTTGGCCAGTGGCTCTACCCGCACGACCGCCTTCCCCTGCACTGGCAACAACTCGCAACCAACGCCAACGTTGCACCGCCGACCATCGCCCTCGCGCCCTCGAACCTGACCACCGCCCTGCTCATGCGCGATGGCTCATGTCGTCTCAGCGACTGCCGCGAACAGCAGCAGGTCGCGCACGTCGTGCCCCAGTCCGAGCTCGGCTGGTGGCGAGCGAACGGCATGTCGCGCTACAACACGGGCTTGACCGCCACGCTTGACGACATGGCCAACGCCCTCCTCCTGCGCGCCGACCTGCATATTGCCTTCGACACGCCCCGTCTTGCATTCGTGCCCAAGCCCGCCACCAACGGCAGCATGCGCCTCGTCGCGCACGTGCTTGGATCCTCGCCCGAGTTCGAGCTTCTCTACCACAACCGCGAGCTGCACCCTACTGCAGTCGGCGTCGACATGTTGTACGCGCGCTTCGCATGGTCCATCCTCCCCCTGCTCCGTGCCTTCCTGGAGAGCGACACCGACCGCCGTCTGACCTTGCGTGCTTCTGACGCGCCTCTGGCTGACGCCCGAGGCTTCGTCGCTGCCGCTGATTGCGAGCGTTTCTCCACTGCTACGAACGGGAGGCGGTCGCAAAGTCCGAAGAAGCGCAAACCAGAACGCGACGATGTATTTGAGGCTGAGGAAACTGCAGAGTTTCGCCCTGGCTCTAGCCGAAAGCGCAGGTGCACTGCAGATGCGGCCAACACCCCCTCAGATGCGATTCTGGCGAAGCGCCCTTGCCGAGATCCACCCCTTTCCGCTCCTTCTTCCGAGCACACATCGTCATCCTTATCCTCGCCACTGACACCTACCTCTCCACCCATCGACACATCCCTCTCGCCGCAGGGCCCCCAGGCATTGCCTACACCACCATGTCCACAGCTAGCACAAGCTTGGCTTGAAGCCGAGCGCCAGCGTTCTGACCCTGACGGCACATGGAACAAAGAGCAAGACTGGCTTCGACGCGTCTGGGCCGGCAAAACCCTGTCAGCCGACGAGGTAGAATGCTGGTTCGAAGGCATTGGTTACGAAGTCAGAGAGGTGTGATTCTGCATGCACACCTTCTGGAGATGTTGCGTTGGATGAATTGCTTCCACTTTTGTTGCCGAATTATCCTTCTAGACAGCTGCGATGAGTGGATTTAGGGCCTGATTTCACTTTGTACACTTCTACATATTCGTTATGCGTTATTATGATACCCTAACTAGTGTCCTTAAGGGCCTATTTCTTTTCTTGAATTAAACAATCCTACCTTCATCAGTTCTTTTGCTCTGTAAATGTGAATTCCGTAGCCCTTACAGAAGAGCATTTTCGCAAGCTCCTCCAAGCGACCGCGGTGTAAAGCGCCCCGATCAGCATCAGGCGTCCTTTACCCCAGGTTTCGGCTTAGCGCCCTGCCCCTCACTCTATTCTACGAACCAAGACAGTGTTTTGGTTTGCTTTGCCTGCAAAATATTTAGCCTGTGCACGGACTAACGACTGTCTAGTTCTCCGATCGCCAAGCCGGCGGTCGTTGAACCGGTCCGGGGTACCTGTTCCCGAGCAGGGTAGTCCCGCCGAGCGCTAGAGTCGGCGGTTGTCGGAGGGGACCCTCCTCCCCGGACGAAGCTGTTGAAGTCGTGTCTTAAGCAAAGCTCGTAGACACTATTCGATTGGTTCTCAGGGATGAGCAGAGGTACAGAAAGCCGTTAGAGGTTGGTTATCACTGAGCGAGCTCGGAGCGGCAGAGGTTTGACTGTGATAAACCGCCGTGATAATCAGGGGGTAGTCGTCTAGTCAAAGACCATGGCGACTGGTTGCAATGAGTAGTACAGAGTATACTGTCTGGCTTGAGAGCAGGTGAGATTCCAATAACAAAGTTGATTGACAAGGTTGAACACAATGCCATAAGGGCAGCGTGTCTACTTGCTTATATACTTGACAGGAG